AACAAATAATAATAACTATTAGCTATTTGTTTTGTACAATAAATAGTAACAAAAGTAGTTTTATATCATATTTAAACAGGAACTATATAGTCTATGAATGCGATCAACCGAAAAAAGAATGTTCTTCTCTCAACGTTTGGCCGCGCTATGTCGGCTCACTAAGTGCTTTTTCACGCTACGTTTGAAGGATTCGAGGTTATAGAATCAAGAAAACACGTTACGGAAAAGGTAATTCCACAGTGTTACGGTACGTTTCACATAAATATTCGCCAAGTTATTTGTAGGCAGCGCGCGGGCGGAAACGATATGTAAGACATTTCTTGTATCAGTCTGGCCAATTCAATTAGAAGTACCTAATTAAATATCAAACAATATGAGATAAAAATCACAAAATTGTGTTCTATCTCTTTAATATTTTCTTGGTACTGACAGTTTATAAATGTCTAAGTATGCAATAGGTATACAGTATACAAAATGCGTTTTTCAATATATGTAATTATACAACAGAAAATCAAGAGTAGGTATCCTACAAAATATATATTGAAAAAATAATATCAAATTTTAGGCCTCTCTAAGTTGGTAGCTGAACACGTGTTTGTACGTATTACGAAAGTTTGTAAAGATGGATAGATAGGTATTTATTACTGTTTCACACAAAAACTACTGAACGGATTCGAATTAAATTTAGTACACGGAAAGGGTATATCGTAACTTAGCACTTGTGATAATGCCTAATATTTTTGTTTCCCAATATATATGTGGACATTATTATTTTTTAACTATCATAAATCATAACTGATACCTGTACTAGTAGAAATACAATTACTTAAATATCCGTTTTAATAACATTTTCATCTGTGGAGTTGCCCAACTAATTTCTGACTCGATAGAAGCCCTAAACCATGAACCCATCACGTGAGATATGAAGATGGAAATTTGAATAGAGTCAATTAGAAATATATCTCACACACATACTGGAAGTTATGTTTTCATCCCTCCGATTCTTAAAAAATTTTTAGAAAATTCACATCTCCCCTCTTAAGGAGAGGAGATGGCAAACTAACCCCCGGCTGAAGCACAGTCGGCCGGGGTTCAGGGGCCCAGGGAGAGAAACCGGCGTACAATGCGGGCAGAATCTAAGAGCACCGCTATCTGCATCTTTCCCGGGAGTAAGCCGCCTCGGAATCCCAACCGTCTGAGATGTTATTCTAGACTGGTTGAGATAAGATCGCTCACCGACAAAACGATTGGAATGATTTCGGTGGACGTCACCCCCACATTTCCGTCACCTCATGAGCCAGGTCGAGATATTTTCTCTTTTTCTCGGTTTCGGCTTTCACGAGGTTCTCGTCATGCGGTATGGTGACATCCACCAAAAACACCTTCGAGAGTGCCCGATCCATCACCATTATTATTATTCTCACTAATAATATATTATAAATGTACAAGGAAGAAACTGCTCAACCAATCCTCTTGATATTTTCCTTTTTCTATTTAGCATGGTCAATCAACATATACCACTCATGCGAACGAAATCACAATTGTGTATTATATTGTTCACGTAACATAATTCTTGTATGCAATGTATGGGCTCAAGGTATGATAATATAAAGTAGTACTAGGCAGGTATATAGATGCTATATTCTTATAAACTGCTAGTTGTTAAATGACGGTCATATATTTGTCCCAATTGATAGGATCAAGCGAGATGCAAATAGATCAAATTGACATAATATATGAACGTAGGCAAAGCGCTTATCGAACGGCATCAATCAGTTGTCTATGCGAATATAGAACATGGTGTCATGGGCTCAAATATACAACGAATTAAATAAACAAATATACACTCGACTGTACAATGTTAGATTAGGTAATAGAGGAATTGGTAAGTTTTCAACCAAGCTGACAACCTACCAGACGGAAAGTGGTAACTGTCCCCTATAGATACGAGCCATGGATATCACAGAATACGCTATAGCTATAATATCTCAATATCAATGTCTCGGGGGGAAAGGGATTGTTAGCAATGGAGTTTGACAGCCCCATTGCTAGCAATATGCCTTATTAGGTCGATCTCCACGTGGTTCCCCTTGGAAACCATCGTGAACAATTCTTGCTGAATTCGTCACGATGGGCTAACTGACCTGCTTCATCCTCACCTATCATACTTCACTGGTGCCCCGCCGGTGTATACCGATAGCGCGGGTGGGGTTGCCATTTCATTATCATCCATAAAAAAAAAAAAATATCAATGTCTCGGTGCCCTGTAAGTTTATCGTCTTATTCTAAAATACTTGTACTTACTCTTCAAATGAAAACTATAAGAATATAATAGTCGAGCAGTAGAGCAATATATGTTGGAGTTTTAATAGTGACAACTATTGACATAACTATTGACATTGAGATTTTTTAGAACAATGTATTATTTTTAAGTTTGTTCTGTGTCAGATTTTTATAAGACATGCCTCGTATTTTTTTTTTCACTAAACTTATTATTTTATATCACAAATACATATATGTTTAATTACTGCATCCTGCTATTTACAACAATATAAATATATCTATGCAAGCATAGATACTTGATGGTAGAGACACGAGTGGAATAAAGATACTCATACAAATCACTTTTGTGCTCTCTCTTCGCGCTAGTAAAATTAAATCAAAATTTATTTGAAAAATTTGGGATTTTAATATTCACAATATCGACGTGTTCTCACTGAGTTATTAATTAACTTTACAAAACGTACCTCTAAATGTTTTTAAAAATGTACACTTTCACGAAATTCTTAAGCGACAGATGTGAAATAAGTATCAAGGGGCACGACAAAAGTTAGAAAGATTAAATTACATTGTGTATATGTTATTTCTTTATTATTAAAAACATTTTATTATTTAGGATCCCTGTTTATAATTAGCTACTTTTTCCTTCCCACTAACTGAGAAAGGTAAATCAAATGTAAACTCGGAAAATGAACATCAAACATTTATATGTAGCAATATAAAAATACTTATCGGTACTTAATGTCGAGCATGAAAAAATTGAATTTGCAACTAAACAGTATTTTTATAATCCTAGGAAAAGAAATCATCAAAAGCAAAATCAAAATAAAAACACGCATGAATAAAGCACATTCTGTTTGCTCTTCCCTATTTGTATGAACTTTTTCAACGAAAAACAAGTGAATAATTTTGTTTCAATCCTGTTCTTAACAATATCGCTGTATCAAACAACGTAATTCGATACAACTGTTTACTTCCCATATAACCTTCGATTCCTTACATTTATGAGTATCTAATGCTACTTTTATTAACACACTAAAATAAAGTCGACCAAGTGCGAATTAAATTCACACGCCTAGGGTTCCTTGAATAAATGTATAAATATTATTTATTTTAATAATATTACTCATAATGTTAATATTACTTATTTTGGGTCATAACTGTGGTTAAAAACTGGACCGCATAAGTTTATTTTTAAAGGTTTTTTGATAATTTCTCAAAAATAGTGCTAGTTAAAAATTTCGTTTTATTTTTCCTATAAACACTACATAGTACAAAACAAAGCGACACAGCGACAGCGCTGTCTGTCCGTCCCTATGTATGCTTATATCTTAAAAAATGCGCAACGGATTTTGAAGCAGTTTTTTTTAATAGATAGAGTGATTTAAGAGGAAGGTTTGTATGTCACAACAGACATATAGACAAACAAGACAGGCAAACGGAAAAAGACGCACCATAAGAGTAGAGTAGAGATCCTTTGTAACTTTTTGATACGAAACCCTAAAATAGTGGAATCATTATCGTGTATTTTATAATATTAATACAGGCTCAATTTTTTTTAGGCAACAGTAAACAAGCAACAAGTGGCCGACATAATGGAAATGGTAACCGTCTTCTATATACATGAACAGCACCATCAGTATCACAGTACACTGTAATGACCACAGCAATTCTCATGTGTTGCCATTCCTTAGGAGAGTTGTATAGACATAATTATTCGTATCCTATGATTTACCTATCATATCCCACCCTTTTACCGTGTGGTAACAGCACAGAATAATTTACCTCTTTCTTTCCCATGGGTATCGTAAGAGGCGACTAAAGAAACTTAATGGTCTAAAGATGAGCAGCAGCCTCTCTTTTAAAACATGAATAAAGCCTAACTGCGGTAACCAACCCAACTGCCAAACGTGGCAACTACTGGCGAAATCCTCCTTATGGGGGAGGGATATGTTCAACAGTAACAAGTTAACGGCTGATAAGAATGTATGAATGAATGAATAGCGAACTTTTTTAACTATTACCAAACTTATATCTTTACTTACCTGACTAATTTACTATGACGTCATTAGTTCAACTGTAACACTTTCTGATGGTTGCGGATTCGAATATGTTTTATAATAATTAATAGGTATTTTTTTTATACCACTGAGGTGGCAAACAAGCATACAGCCCACCTGATGGTAAGCGGTTACCGTAGCCTATGAACGCCTGCAATACCTGAGGTATTACGCGCGCGTTGCTGACCCTGAAGAAACCTCTTTACCCCCCTTTTGAAGAATATGGGGTTCTTGTCTTGGCTGTAGTCTCTTGGGAAAACCTCGGCAGGTATAAAATAACAATGTAATATAGTAGAACAATGTAAGGCAAAGAAACCCAAAATATATGCGATAAAATAGTTAAAAGTCGTTAACTACTCGTAATATCCTCTCCTTATTGGGGAAAAAACCTCTATATTGCAGTTTTGTATTTGTCATTATCGTTATCATTATTTCAGTCGATAATGTGGTTAATCTATTTAGACCCTCAATACAATCTCTGCTTAGTATAGAATTATTTGGCATTGATGATTAAAGTAATTTATGTCCTTTCTATGGGTTTAAAGGGGAATGGGTAACCTGGTTTACTAACTTAGTAGACATATAGTATAGGTAGCGCAGTTGCAATAGGTACTAATGAAGAAACAATAAAAGTGAACATTTTAAATATTTTATTTTTAACATTTATTTAATTAACACATTCCTATTACAATTTAATATTACATTTATTTTTAAATTTTCATTTCTTACAACATCAATAAACGGTAAAACGTATCCACTGGAAACATTTATAGAAATAGAATTATTAAAATAATTCCAACGCTCTTTTATGTTTACATATAAATATTGAATGTTCATGGTTTTTAATAGAATGATCGTTATGAAAATCCAATAAGTTATATTTCATTACACATCATTTATAGGAAATTATGCGCATAGATATTAATATTACTTATATTACATTTTCAAAATAAAAAAATATAAAAAAATGACAAAATTATTCTTTTTGAAATTTATCTTTAACATATAATATTATTTATTTGCCATACATACAGATAGGTGCTAACCATAAAAGGCAATTTTTAATACACAATATTAATCAATTAGGCTCATAGAATATTATTATTCATTAAATATATTTGTTATTAATTTTATTTTCTATCACCACATTCAGCACCAATTTGTATTTATTTTTTATAAATTACATTTTATAATAAAATAAAGATAATTTAATAAAATAAATTAATACACAGAATATATAGCATGAACTAACAATTAGTTCAGTTTTTTTTTCAGTAGACTTTAACATCTAAGATGTATAGGGATATTTTTTTTATGTGTTATACCTAACTACAATTATTCTAACTTTGGATTTGAAGTTTGAGACCACAAAAATATGTTACATATACAGTTACAACCACTTACTTATAAAATTTATACCAGTTGGTAAACAATTAATAACGTAACGAATACCTAGTATTAAACATATATAAAAATCACACATAGTAATAAAAGACATTGATGTTTATTAATTTACAAAGTATTTAACTACTGAATAGAATTACTTAGTAAATAGAAGATTAATTGGTACATATTGACAATTCAGTTAGTAATTAATCACAATTAAATGCGACATAGTAATATTGTGTTTCACAAAATAATTCCCTAGTACAAAAACTTATAACTTCCTTCTGACAATTAAAGACCTACTAGATTAATTTACTGTTTTGCTCTCAAATTTAAAATATAAAAAAGTGATATATACAGTTTATTCTTAGATTATATAAATAGAGTCTGTCCATTTTTGTCCAATTTTGAGTGACAAATAGTTATGAGTGATTCCTTTACAACTTCTATATTTATTTTGTCTTATAATTTCTACATCTTTTTAATGCGTAAACACTCATTTTATTTATTAAATAATACATCAAGATAAATTTTATGCACAATTATATTGAGCACTGATAAAAAAAAACGTGTCAGCTAATTTAACAATTAGCTGACAAAAAGTTGACGCGTTTTTGAGGCTTGAAGCTATATCTATATAATCTTAGAGTTTATTATATTTTTTGATGATAAAATGAGTTTTTATTACAAACTACTCGTTAAAAAAACGAATGCAAAAATCCATAAGTTGCTGACACTTAGTTATACATCGGTAGGTATATAGCACTTGTACCACTCATGGCATTAAATGCCTCAACACCAAATTGTCTCATTTGTCTAAGTTAGCACTTCTCTTATATTACCTCTTACATTTCAGATCGAAATATATTAACATATAAATTGTTATTTCACGTCACAAAAAAATTATTACAATCAAATGAGTTAGTTATAACAAAATTTTGTTAATACTCAAAATAAAAATTTAGAATACTCAAGAAATTAAATAAATTTTGTTAATCCATGGGAATTATTACTTGAAACGCATTTATTAATAAATCCTATTACGTATATTGTATGCAAGAAATTACTCTTGTGAAATATTAATTAATTTAAAAAATATATCCAAATTATAACACATTTATCATAATAATAAACCACTTAGCATTTTAGTTCTTATTCTGAAAATACTATTTAATTATACTAAATGTTGGTGCAAAATTGCTAAAATGTATGTGAGTAAATAAAATTTTTTATTACGCAATTGTATCCATTGTCTGTCTAAAAATGAATAAATAAGAAAAAGAACATCTGGAGATAATCCAGAACACTCTACCGTAAGGCAATTTGAGAAAGTTCATTTTCCAATTGACTAGATTGTATATTAATCTTAAAAGTTCATTTACCAAATGTAACGAATGTTAAATTAAAGGTAGAATACTTGAACATGAAAAAAATATGTATATAGATCTGGTTAACTCTATAATAATATATTTAAGGTGATACTGTACTATGAATATTTAAAACATTTAAAAATTTACTTATAAGATATATAGGTATCTTATATCTAACATTAAATGGTATTTGACGGCTATCTATTGTACACAGCAATATTGTATGTTAAGTAACACCATTTTATTTCCTATTAATGATTTATTATTTGATAGACCTACTTAAGCTAATAATCTTTACAATATAATTAACTTAGATTATATAGATGTATTAGATACTAAACATTGACATGTTATTGAGACTCAATGCTCTATCTATATAATCTAAGATTAACTATAGGTAGTCAAAAATAGTTAATTAGTAATTTATATACAAAGTAGTCCCAAAACATTGAAAACGTTGAATCTATAAGTCTTCGAAATAGTTATAAAAATTATAAAAAAGAGACCTTTTTCTATAATGATAAAATATTGTGTTGACTAAAGAGTGTGGTCTACTAAGTTCCGTTTTCATAATTACTTATATTTCAGTATATATTTACTGATCGGTTATATATTTAACGCTCGATACCTGACTTATGTTGTAGCCACCTATACAGAAAATGATAGTTAATCCAAACATATAATAATGTTGTTAACATTTTTTTTATTTGGTACATACATAAAATGTAAAAAATGTGATTACCTGAAATCGTCTATAAGATCTAAATTAATAAATAGCTACAATTGCTGATAGCTCACTGTAAAATCTTTTTTTTTTATATTCTCTATTGGCCCCTAAATAAAATACGGCTTTATTTTTAATATTTTTATGTACAGTATTATATACAGATTTAGCTTATAATCTGCACCTTCCTGACTATTATAGGTTTTTAGCACATTCATGCCCCGTTTCCATTTTAGCCTTGGATTTCACCTCGCAACTCGCTAAACTCGAAAAAAATATTAATATATTGATATGCGAGATACAATCTCTCATATCAATATATTGATCAGTTTGAAATAATGTCATGAAGAAATTGACGACCAAAGTATCTGAAGAAAATCAACTGATCTTTTCATTTTACTCGTAATATATTGAGAAATATACAGTTAGATGAACTACAAAAATACAAAATACCCTACAACACAGTCCAATACAATTTTATTGTTTAGTAGAATGATTATTTACACTATCCACGAGTATTTTACTTGAACAGGTACGAGATAATATTATTTAACAAACGATGGTCTGATTGCCATTCAGTTCATTTTATTCATCGATGTAGAAGTAATATAATTCTGTTTGTCTCGAATGTTTCTGAATATTATTTAATTTTTACATGTAAGTTATAATTGAAAAATAAGTCTTTCAAATTATTTTGCACTACCAGAAAACGTTACTCTCAACCGACTTCAATAAAACTTTTTAATTAGACTGTATATTTTGTGTGTGTATATGTTGCATATCTTTATTATTTCAATACTGATTGTGATGACTCTTACTTTTATTCAAACAAGTTCCCTTTCTCTTTTCACCTATTAATTACATCAGGATTCTAGTTCTTTCTTTTAAAGTTTCATTCAGAACTAAACAATTAACAATAATCTAATACTTTTTTCGTTAGGACTCTAAGTTAACAAATAAAATGACACGATTTCTCAATAATCTGCTGTTTGCTAGATATTTTGAATTGTGCTTCTTTCCAATTATTTTACCAACCTTCTGAAGTATAAAAATACTTAAAATATCTTGTAAGTTATTATACCTGGTTGCAACGAGCTGTCCAAATATAACGTATGTAATTTTTGCGCAAACCCGCTTCACAACTTTAATAGAATCGATATTACATATACGACGATACGATCAAATTACAAACTTGTATAAGAGTTTTTTTATATACAGTAATAATATCAACTTCTTAACGACCATAAAACGTAACATTATTTTTGTTGAGTTACAATTCTATAGCGATTGTTATGTATAATCAGTTTCTCATAAAGACCCGGTACAATGCATAAGCAAAAAAAAGTATTTTCTAAACGGTTCATCCGTGATTCAATGGAATTGCAACCACGCCTGTGAAGATGTACTCCGACAGATTAAGCAACGTCCTAGCAGCCCTGCCAGTGAATAATGAGAATAAAGTCAGGTCAGTTTGCATATTGTGACCAATTCACCAGAAATAAAACAACATAAATTATAGAGGAGATCGCACGAAGGTTGATACAATATACCCTATATTACTACCAACATTATTATATATTATTTATAGAAACAACCCCGTCTTCGCGATGCAATGAGATTAATTAAATAATACCATTTAAGTAACAATAACCCTAATAACCTTAATCTTGTATCTAATAATTATGTGGGCACTAGGGTCAATACTGAAGCGCTATTTCACCAAACTTATCTCCAAAATCAAAATTTCAATTTGATATCACAACGAAATCTTTATCGTAAGGACCAATAGAAACTGAATTTCTAAGAGATGTAAGTCAAAATTATAACAAAATTTTATTTATGATGATCCACAAAACAATAATTTCGGAAACCTATCAAGTCAAAGTATTTGGTTAAGAGATAAATTTAGATAAATGACATCTTAGAATCGGCCCCATTGTTGTTCCCCATTAGGAGGGGATAGTATCCTATTACTATGTCATGGGCCAGGTGTTTTAGAACAGAAATTTATTTCAATATTTTCTTTATATACTAGTATATTGTATTTTATACATCTGCCCGGGATTTATTTTATACCATTGAGGTGGCACCCAAGCATACAATCCATCTGACGGTAAGCAGTAACCGTAATCAAAAAGTCTGTAACACCAAGGGCATTACGCGCGCGTTGCCGGCCCTGAAGAAACCTATTTACGCCTCTTTTTAATTATATAATTATAATCAGTGGTGACATAATCGTTATGTATTCTTACTTCGTCACCCACCACGGGAATTAAATACATTCAAATGTATTCAATTAATCCCCTTTTATGTTTTGATTTGAACAAACGTCTGTACTTAATTGTATAATACCGTTGCTGTCTCATTATAAGCAAATGTAGACAAACAATTACAAAAAGTGACGATAACTAACATGACGCTCATATGACGCTATTATAATGCTTCTTATGGTAATATATTTATATACTTGCATTGAAGTCAATCAATATTTTTTTATATCGATTATATAGTATTATTTCATCATTTCATCCTCACTCAAAAATGTGTAAGTAACCAATATTTTAATAAATACAGCTGAACAAAGTACAAGTATTTTAAGTGCTGTTTATTATACATGTGTGATCAATATTATGAAATTCCATCAAGAAGTCACAACACATATAGTAGATATATCAACACATAGATATAACAACACAACAATAGTAAAATATATCTATTTTATTTGCTAACGATAATGTATATATTACACGTGTCAAATCCACAGTAGGAAGGTTCCTGCCAGAGCTTCACCTAGTAACTACAGTATGCTCGTTGTACCTAGCTGATATTATAATGGAAATATCTGAATATTTTTGAACAATGGCAGGTTCCGAATAACAAAAATAATATTCTGCTACTTTATTTACAAAACATAACAAGTCATATGAGAGATTATTAACTCGCTCAGCGAGCTGTGGAAATAATTTAAAATGAGGATATACGCAGAAAAACCAAAAGGACCAATAACTCGAAGAATCGGTAGGCCGAAATGGCAATTCGTGGCATACTCGTAGCTCGAAGAACCGCCAACAGTACAAAGACTAAAACAGTATAGGGCGCCCCCCATCTAAATAGAATTACAATTTTAAATTTGTTGCAAAAACTCAATGGTTGTATGCGGCTGAATACCATTTCTTACGGCATTCTCTATTAACATTGACCTTTTTCATAAAAGGCGAATGGCCAGCAGAGAATAGTGAAAAGATACACTGAAAAAAATATAAATTTTATGTAAATTCTAAATAAAAAAAAATATCGATTAACAAAATACCTAGAGAAAAACAACATAACTAACCATTGATAATAACTGTAGTAGTATAATAACAACATAAATACCCATTGTGAACAACTGTAATAGTTGTCCTTCTTATAACTTAAGTGTAAACAGAATTTGATCTATCACAACTTAGTATTAATTACACAAGTTAGGTACCTCAGTTACATTTACTACACTCGAATACATAAAAGAATAAATACCATAATGCGTACTTCATACGTTACATTGAAACAATATACCACTCGGTAATTAATTAATATAAATGAACAAACATTTTAATAGGGTTCAAGATTAATATAAAAAATCGGTATATAATTCAATTATTCTTATAAAAAAAGGCGCCAATTACTAAAATAAATTTATATTTTTACATACAAAAACAGGAAACAAAATTTAGCAATACAAATTGTTTTGTTCCTAGTAAGTATACACACAATGTTTTTCTATCTTACATGCTTAATTAATTTTGAGCATAAATACATGATATAAAAAATAAATATGATAAAAATATATTCATTATCAACATCTTATTATTTTTATAACTTTCTGGTATGTTCATTTCTTAAATGTATATTACGTACTTCAAAATATTCATTTTTTTATTATTTCTAATTTTATGTGCATAAATAAACTTTTTAGTTGTTTGGCCTTCTTTTTAATAAATAGTTATAACAAAATATTCCCTAAAAGTTGCTTCTTAAACTTCGTAATCATTTTATGGAGATATAAATAATCATGCTCTAGTTGTTATCTAAACTTTTGGAAACTATATAAATAAACAAAAGCGGACGGTTAGCTATCACAGCATGCAATTGAAATATGTAATTAATAATTTCCAAATAATTTTAATAACATTAGCAATGCAAATAAATTTTTTACAGTTTATAAAATATATGACTAAATTCTGATTTAAAAATATATTGCTGCATTTTTCGAATTTTAAACCCACTCAAATCAGAAACTTTCCCAAATATCAAAAGTACACTAATACACATATATGCAGGGGAAAAAACATAATATCAAATTGTCTAATTGTACTAAAGTGATACAATAAAACAGTAATAGATATGTGTATGAATAAACACCAAACTGTCTCATCAGCCTACTGATATCAAACAAATGTATTTCAAAAACTGGTGTTTCATACCAGTTTTAGACCGGTGTATCTCAGGTAAGTCCTCCTATGTCACGGTTGACTTGGCCCATGTAGATTGCTAGTTCTTCTCCAGTCAATTCTTCCTCGACTTCTCGTAGGCTGCTATTAGAGATGCTCTGAGCAGAGCAATAGGGCTGTCCGCGCTGCCTCACCCACCCCCAGTGATTCATCCATGGCGACCTCTCATCTAACGCGTGTTCGCCTCCATCGTAGAGCTGCAATACGTATTTTTATTAGGTATTCACTATCTTTATTTTTATGTTATTAACAAAATTAAAAACATTAGTCTTTAAATCCTTTTTGAGCTATATTATACATAGTAATTGAAAGTTACTTGATTGCTCTCAATAATTGATTCAATAAATGATGCTCAAATTCTTTAATATAAAGTTTGTTGAGTCTAGAAATAACGGGCAATAAATAAGCTGTTTCTCTTTTTTATTTATTTTACACGAAATTTAATAGAAAGGGTAAAGAAAAATTCGTTTCCAAAAATCAAACAACATAAAGATGTTCAATTATTCTAATAGTATACCTTATTAGGCAACAAATACAATTTATTTTATCATTCCAAAAGATACAACAACTAAATAACAAGTCTGATTTACACATTAATAAGTTAATGTAATATTAGAACACATAAATCATGTAAATAATAAACATGCGTTATTAGCTTACAAGGAACAATATTATACTATATTGTATGTTTATCAAATATATTATATTGTAGTCACAATTTCATTGACATAACTTATTCCTACACGAGGCAATAAAGCAACTTCATCCCGTTTTATGTCCCTCCTTTCTTCACTTCAGCGCACTGGATGTATATAGCATTTGAGAACCTCGGATTTCTCGTATTCTCTTTCAAGTTATTAGTCATTTCCAACCAATGAATCAAACAAGATAAATCTTCACTTCATAAAAAAATAACAAACGACATCCGAAGTAAAAATATTTAGAGTGTCCTTCAGCATCGAACAAAAGGTCGCGTAAATTGCAGCGGTTAGCGCTATAAATTCAAACTCCCATCCAAACAGCTTACTGAGGTAACGCACAATCAGAAATATGCAGATTTAAGGGTCTTCCACTAAAATACTATATATTTAGACAACTGTCTATTGTAGTATAATCATCATCATCATCGTCATACCAACCATTATCCATACACTGCCATAAGAAACGGCCTTGAGCCACCTGCATCTACTAACTTCCTACAATTCATTTGAGATCATCACTCCATGTAGTAGAGAGTCGTCCACTGCATTTTTCCGTACGGGGTCGTCACTCAAGAACCTTTCTTCGCCATCTGTTATTCTTTCTTTGAGCTACATAACTAGCCCATTGCTACTTTATCTTGCCTATCCTTCAGTTATATCTGCGGTTCAGTTATATTTGCGAATATCCTCATTTTGGATTCTATCATGCACAGAAACTTTGAGCATAGCCCTCTTCATAGTTCGCTGAAACTACTTTTAAATACATTATACGGCAACAGGTAAATTCATTTCAGTAACAAATATGTGCTTGAATGTAAAAATGATAATTCAACTTGGATTAGATTCTTATAAATCATATAGTTATAAATAATTAAAAAAAAAAACACTGTAAATTAGTTATGCGACTAAATATGTCTTGTTAATATTAGCCTTAATTAACTTATTGCGCATATATCGTTTTTGATATCTAGTTATTCATTGTGCGGTAATATTACAGAGAGATGTTAAACCTTTTTAAATTAAACTTCATTCTAGAAACTTCACAATGATTTAACGGATCGCGAGACGGAATGTTTTTTTAACAGTTCATAAATTTAATTTGAAAATAATTTTAAATATAGTTTTTACTATTACATTCAAAATAATACTATTTCTTATTATGTCGAGGAAGTAAATAAATAAAAAATAAAAGAATATATTCGTATAAATTAATGCAACATTCACAGAAAATGATAAAAGAAAAGAATTTGGCTACAATTATTATTACGATGACAACGTAATATGAAAATTAGTTCTTAATCATATATATAAAAATATATTTATTATAATATATATCATTATAATATTATAATAAATTAATAAATACAATATAATAGTAAATACATGCCGTATATAAATTAATGTAATAAACTGAAAAAAAATTCTAAACAACATATTTCAACTCTCCATTTCGTCAAATAAACATTTTCATAGAATTTTGTCAGAAGAAGAGTGAATAAATGAATACTGAATACTCACTGAATATGTTATATAAATAATACTCGTAATAACCATTTATAATAAAAGTAACCTTCATATGAATCATAAACGAAAAAAGATCCATATTGATTTATAACGATAATAAATATGGTTTGCATTTTTTTATGAGACAGACAAACTAGCCGTCAATGTAATTATGTTAGAAAAAATTACACTATCAGTATCTTTCTACCACACTGATGGAAATATAAAGGTAAAACCATTTCTCTTGGATCCAAAAAACGTAATATGATTGTTGGTGTCCTATTCACTAATAAATAAAAATCATTTTAGTACAAGAAATAAATTAAGATGTCTCATATCACTAATAGTAATAATAAAGCTCTACTTAAATACACCAATTGCCTGGTACTAAAGCTTGCGTTACAAAGAACTACTTAACGAACATATTAGGGTACAACCCAGAATACACAGACCCAGGTGAATACAGAATAGGGTAGTTTCCTTAATTAACCAGGACCTTTAGACAAGTGGCAAGCGAATTCGTCGATGGAATCGACATTGCTAGCGAGTCCGTGAGATAGAATGAGATAGCATCGACGAATTCGCTTGCCGCTAGTTTAGAGGGCCTGATTGAAAATAGATCCCGGGACCTCATTTACAGAAAGCAACGTTTCCACCACTATCTCACAGAGGTCATCATATAATTTGCAATTGATTTCTACAAATAGTCAAATCCACCTATTTATTAGATATATTTTGATTTAGAAAAATAGTCTACCTACTGTGTTATAAAAACGTTTATGTTTCATGTAATATTATTATTATAACTCTTTGATATCTATCTACATTCTAAAAAACTGTATGTAAATGAAATCTATAAGTTATTGGCAAGTAGCATCCCGACCCGACTTTGAAGGGGTATAAATTAGGATATATGGCACATACGAAAGTACATTCCCATTTAAAAGGCCTGTAGCACACCTGCAATGCCGTTGGTGTTGTGGGTGACCATGGGTGGTGTTAGTCACTTACCATCAGGTGAGCCGCATGCTCGTTTGCCCCCTGTGTTGTAAAAAAAAAATACAAATCCTTTGCAAAAAGTATTTGAAAGACAGTGAAACCAGTATCAAATTTCGTTATGTGGTGAAACAGAAGACGACTTTCTTTAATATTATCGCATACTATTTAAAATTTTGTGATTTTTAGGTAGGTTCTACCATACTCGATTAATTTTCTTAAATTCACATTTTCACAATTTTTGACAATGAATAAAACCTTATTCGTGTAGAAAACTATGTAGTAATAGAAACAAAAAAAAAACTAACCTTATAGCTTTACAGACACATTCCTACGTAATAGAATTCCGTAGACATTATTACTAACTTTTTATTCAATTTGTAAATGCCAATACCCTTACCTTACTGCTATCTCTGGCAAAATCTAAGAGTTATTTGTTATTCGATCTTGTTTTTCCACCATCAAATAGAAAATCTATTCTAACTCGTATAGTAAAATCAACGAAAATCATTGTTCCATCTTACACAAAGCTTTACCAAATCTTCATTTATATTATTGATACCTCATATAATAATTAAGATTAAATTAAGATTGTTACAATAAGAAGCAAGTAATTGAATCGTGACAGCATTATAACCATAGACTCTAAACGTAATCAACACGTGAGTAAAACCTATCTATTACAAAAGAAATAAAAACTTTTCCGACGTGACGAAGGTGAACAACGTCAATAGCATAGATATTATATTGTATTAAGTAAAATTATATAGCTTATTTCTTACAAAAATAGCTTGTAAATTCTTTGCTTTGAAATTCCTAATGATCGTGACATTAAGACAAATATGCCGAAAACAGGTTCCGCAACTATTTAATTTTACATTATGTAATAACGGATGCAATATTTGTATAGAAACGTGAAATTAGAATAAAAACGAAAAAAACTAAAACACAAAACGTATATTTTAATTTCTATGCTTCACATGGGCATAGTATAATATTTACTGTGAAATTTAACTATTTTTCTACTTTTTGCATTAAATATTTTACAGCACTAAGATTGCCTGTGAATTCTAGTAATAAAATTAATTGCAAAAGCAAAAATATAACTCGTAATGATTGTGCACCAGTCGACGTATTAATTTATAAATAAAACATGCATAGTAGTTTAACCCCCTTATTCATAAACGTTAATTCTCCTGTTTTAATTATTGGAGCGTTTTGTCTCTTTTCTTGTGCTAATTTTTCAATTTAATAGACAGTGACAAAACACTCTAATAGTTAAAATAGGTTTGTAGGATGTTTTAATTTTTATGAAAAAAGGGATAAGTGTTTTATTATAACAAACTTAAATGTACACCAAGAATTGATTTTCTTATTTTGCTGGCCATTATAGATAATATTTATAGATTTTTCTACATAATGAAGTTAAATTTAAATTGCTAGTAATATAAGCTACCAAGTCGAACTTCACGTGCTCCCTCTTGGAAACCATCGTGCTTAATTCCAGAAGTATTTATCGTGGTAGGCTAACTGACCTGCCTTTTCATTCTTACCTATCATCCCTAACAGATATCCCGCCAACGTATACCGTTAGCGTAGGCGAGGTTACCATTACATTATCATGCATTAAAAAAAGAATCATTTTAGATAGGAATGGATTACGGAGACTAACGGCCCGTTTTCTAATAACATACTCTACCACATCCACTACCACACAGTCCTCTTCGTTGTTTTCTGGTAAATTTGTCACGATAAACAAACTAACCTCATCGTCATTTATTAACTCTCACTTGTACCTCGCCAACGTATAACATAAGCAGGGTAAATATTTCATATTCATCCATTTAATAAATTTCAGATAACACATGTACTATTCCGCAAATTGTTTATTTATTATATTTAACCGTTTTCATTTTTATGGCATGATTATACTCAATAAATCCCAGCTAGTAACTCAAAGCAATATTCTAATAATAACGTTACTCTTATATTAATACAATATTTTAATATATATTCCGAATTTTTCGTATAAGTACCGTCCATGTAACTCGAATATAAAAGCTATTATAATATTTACGTACCCATATACCTACATAACTACTGTCTATAATTAAGTAGATACGTAATTAAATATTAAGTAACTTACAAATCATTAGTGAGATCATCTTTATTAATTTATCGTAACTATGTTAAAAAGAGCACGAATTTCTATAATTTTCACAGGAATAATAAATTTGGATTATAATATATATAATAAATATAAAATTAATAAAAAAGTATGTAAATCAAATCGTTTAAAAATCAAAAGTTATCCTATAGATACCAACGTAGTAGGCAATAATTTGTTATTCACATATATTTTTTACTTTATTTCTGTCATATTACACATTAAACAAAATTACTACTATTTATCTCCTGAACATTACGCTGTATACTGTAATACTACATGCAAATTTGTTTAACTTACAACATACGGTATTAAAAAATAAAATGGTGTACATTTTTAAGATAATTAATAGAAGTTTTTAAAATCTTATCACTTATAGATTGTTCCACTTTCATTCTTTAGTAATAAATATTGAAACACGAGATAAACAGGTTGTATTCTAACCCTATTATTCATAAAAAGGTCAATCTTCTTATAAACCTAATTTAACTAATAAAGTGCTTTGTCCTTTTCTTTCATGACAGTGACGAAACACTAATAGTTAGAATAGGTTTGTAGGATGTTTTAGTTTTTATGAATAAAGGGGTAAATTAAATTGATTAATATTGGTTTTAAATCAGTGTTCTGACAGTGATATATATGGATATTTTCTCAGAAAAACATGAGTTAAATAATTACAAAATAATTTTGAGTCTCACATACTAATTAGATAGCTAGACGCGCCGTATCAATGTGAATAAAATGTTCAACTTCACTGTCAGAACGATTCTTAAAAATGGTATTTATAATTCTGATTTCGTTCTGTATTATTATGATTTATATTGATTCAAGTTTTCTTACATTTTAATATATACAATCTAATATATAATATATATTAACTTGATCCTAAATGCAAGGAAAGAATTCGATGGAAAATTTAATTAATTTCGGTCTACCCTGAGCGTTTAAAAACTAATTTGAAATGATCTAATCATTTCAAATTAGTTTATTTTAAAAGTGGACGATTAACACGAATAGCACTATCGGATATCACATGAAAATATTTCTTCTTTTTTTTAATTATTTCTTCAGATAAGAGTTTGTTAAAATTTGTAATAATATTCAAATATAATTATTATTAGTACTTGACTGGTCGTTTTTTATTTATTTACATAATGCGTTACACAATCATATATCCATCCGAATTATACAATGTATTTATTTTCATAACACATCATAAAAATAATTTAATATTTGGAATAAGTAATATTTAATCATACATACAAGTTTATTTAATTACAATTTATCTGACTGCCAAGCATGATTTTTTACGAAGTACTAACTGTACCCCGCAGCTTTGACCGTGGTCATATTATTGTAATGTTGAATAATCTTTAAACTTCCCCAAGAAATAAACTATCAACTGCATTTTTTTATCCGGCTGGTAGGTCCACAGATTAGCGCATTCATACAAACTCTTCTGCTTTATTTTATTAGTATAAATAAATGAATAGAGAGTTCTCCTACATGAAGAATACCGATTTCATTTTTCACGTTACGTTCTGTAAACTGCAAATGTATATATAACTAATTAACAATATTTAGTTACGTAAATAGTGTTTAGCAAACGCAATTGCAATTTAGAATATATCACAATTGTAATAATATTTTTTTTAATATCATTGTACATGCATACTTAGCTCATCCATGTTTCATGCGAATGGCTTCGTGCGAATCGTCCACTAACATATAAATGTCACAGTAATACTGTTCTAATATACACAGCCTTACTACGTATCACTCGTAAGTCTTTATAATTGGCAACAACACGAAAAAAAGAAAAAAAGCAATTTATTAGAGAACATACACGCTGGATGTAAAAATGTTAAATTGAGTATTATAATATTATGTTTCTAGTCAATGCATTTAGACAGCCAACGTTGCGTTGTTAGTGAAGAGACCACAACCGCAAGCCCAACTAAATTTGGTTGTGCCTGACCTCACCTGCGCTCTTGAAGGCGCATCGTAGAGCTGGGTGGTGGCTGTGTTGAGCCGCTGGAATCTTCGTGGGTGATGCTCAGAAGGGCACGCTGCGCGTTGTTGACGGAAAGCTTGAAGTGCACTGTAAGTGCGACGCATCCGCGGTCCGTGTCTACGTCCTAGCCAACTCGATAACGTTACCTGCACAAAAAAATTGATGTGGTAAATATATGGTGTAAAGGTCTCCATGATTTTTTTGTGTGATTCGCTTGTATAGGTTGATAATAATACATAAGTCATTGCATGGTCATATAAGGAGACTTTGTACAAAATTAGCCAAGCGAAGCAACTCGTTTTCCTGTTATATTTCACTTCGAAGGGAGTGGATATCAATATAGTATATCATAACAAATCAAGATTATATCACTGTGTATCGCCATGTGTACCCCAGAACAGAATGGGCTACCCCTTCCTTTCCCTAAGGGAAGGCGAGGGATGGGCAGAAGCATCCCTCTTAAAACATCTCTAAAAGCCTAACTGCGGTTACCAAACCGCCTACTAAGCGGCAACGACTGGCAAAGCTCCCCTTATATGGAAGGCTTATGTTTAGTTGTCTATTATTATCGGCTGAAATAATAATAATAATTATAGCACTGCTGCGGCACAAGTCTCTCTCATAAAGCGAGTACCTAGCATTACCATGACTAAACTTAGTATTGGGTTTTATTACTCTTTTTCTTCTCTTGCATATTATACTGTATTCTAATAATCGACTTTTATGATAGCTTGGCATGACAATTTGTGATAGCATATTATAATGTAGTCCGTTATTGTGAGTCCGATATCGGCGACTCTTACTGTTTCCTTTAATGCACTCTAATGTAAGTAGCGAAACCAAGTCTACTTTTAAAGACTCAAACTGAGTACAGTGTAGTTATTCATCTGGATGTGGATCAAGGTGTTAAGAATCATTCAAAGGTTCAACATTTCTCATCTCAACCTGTCTGCAACTACATTTCCCTTAGTAATCCTTAGTATTTTGTTAAGAAATGCTCTTTCAGTGAATTAGTATATTCCAATGAATGAAAAATCTTAGAATACCTTCAAATTTGGTATCAAGTGGTTAGTTAAAATACCTTACAAATTTTCGATTGACTGGGCAATCGAAAATTTGTAAAGTATTTTAACTGCAGGTCAAATAGTGACCGAACATGACCTTGATAACAACAAGTTTTATCTCAACGATAAAATATCAAAGTCCACGCAACAGTTATTTGTGATTTAAGTAAGTACCTACAATTTAATATCAGGTATTCGAACGTCGAAACTTAGCGTTAACTTGTTAAACGAGTTTCCGATATTTATAAGCACCCGCCAATATCCGAAGCCGTAAAATACACAGGATTAAAGGAAAATCCCAATAAGTTAAAACAAAATTTTTGATTTCAACAATAAATCTATTATCTATTTGATCTTTTATTTGAAAATCTACAGTTACTCTGTATCCATATTATTATAAACTAGCGAACCCAACTCACGTTGTTCTGTCAATGTTTAAATTGGTAGCTACGGATAGTTTGTACGAGAAATAAATATTGGACTTTTCAATTCTTTTTAATTTTAATTAAAATTTTATTTTTAATTTCTCTTTATAAAAACTTTTTTTGTACTTTGAAGAATAGTTGAAAAAAAATGAAAAAAAATTGCTGTAGCGATATTCCAGTTTTGAGTTTAGAAACACATTTAACAATTCATATATAAATACAGATGACACAAATTTTATATGAAAATGATACTTGCATGGATATTAATAAAAGCTATTTATTGATAGTGAATCCCTCTCTCACTGAACTTATTCGAAATATCATCTGTAATGCAACATTTTAAATATTTTTTCGACATAAACCTTCACTGCATACAAATATTTGTATCTATAAGTCTGTTTATTATTAATATGATCGTTGTCTATGTATTACAAATTATACAATTGTTTTCTATGTATTACAAATTATATAATTGTATTTAAATAGCTATGAGTAATAATTATTCCAAACCAACAAACGCTTGTACTATTCTGCAATGGAATTGCAGATACAGGTCGTTGTATACATGCAGCAATGAACAATTAATTATTCAAAAAATAAATACTTATGTCATTACATGAAGATACATTTTAATTTCAGTTTACCGAAACATCATGCCGTGCACGAAAATTAAAGGGTTTTATTTAATTGCATACATTTTTCGTATCTACTTTATCGTGACGACGATTATTCCCGTCCCAAATTATACCGTTTTATTATAAATTGTAAAAGCTTTTATGCATATTTTTTATAGTACACGTTCATTTAAATTTTTCGGGATAAGTCCAAGAGAAAGATACGAATATATACTTATTATGACGTTTTTTTAATTCATCACGTTCATGAACTTTTCTGTTTGTTGTCGCGCAAGAGTAATTCTATGTTCACAAAGTGTCTGATTTTATCTTCGTATTTATATCTCGTGAAAGAAGTTATATGTGAATGTATACAAACAAACGTCCATTTATAAAACAAACAGTATATTTATTCCAACTTCGGACACATTTGGGTCATGACCGCTACTTTTAGCCGACTTTTATAAAGAAAAGATTCTAAATTAGTCTGTATTTTTTACCTCTTATATAAAAAATATAAACTGATTTTGATGGTCTTTTACCAAATAGTAATGACTCCCATGTTATTCCAAATTATAAAATAATAAAAATTACCACTCAAAAATAAAAAAAATCAAAACCCTTATAATAATATATTACCTACTCAAAGTTGAATTCTCAAAAACAAAATGCATATTTATAGAAGTAAATATGTATACAACATAATGTTTATTAATACTTGGAATACATAGAAAAGTTTTTCAATGCCTAGCTTATAACTAGGCATCATAACGAAAAAAACTTTTATCAATGAAAGTCTATTTATTGTAGTTAATATGACAATATAAGCCGTTAAGAAAATAAAAAATACTCCATACAAAATAACAAAGTAAAGAAGCTAAAACTGTTTTAAGAAATTATTAATTCTAATATATATTTTTATGTTTATTTACGCCGTATTGTCACTAATAATGATGAATTTTGATGTTAATTTTTTTTGTAGAAAATATTTACTCTCATTTTGAATTTATACTGATAATGTTCAAAATTTAAAAAAATAATAGAATCCAACGTCGTGAACTAGACTGACTATCATGACCAGATAGAACCTATATATGTAATTATGAAAGTGCACGAATTAAGACACGTACAATATTTAAAAATGTTTTATTAATTTTGGCTGTCTCATAGGGAATCAAATGTAATGATATTAGATATCCACTTAAAAATTGATTATAATTAATTCAACTTTAATTAATGCTAATTCTAAAATAGTAATAGAATAGATAATAAAAAAACATAAACTATCTATATATATGTACATAAATGGGGCATAAATTTAATAAATATGCATATGAGAGTTATTGAGTCCCATATGTACCTATATGACTGAAAACAAGGAGGCCTAGAAAACCTAAAAGAAAGGGCATTTACATAAAATATTGACCATAATTTACGAGCAGCCGCAGACCGCATAAAATCCCGCCTTTGCCCTCTAGCATTGCCAACACAATTTATGAATAATGAAATTGCCCATAGAACATCATTATAAACGTTTTGGTAAGGAAATGTAATAAATATGGTGTCTTAATTTATTTTACTTTTGATTCCGTTTTCAAAAACATACGAGAAACTATTTCTTAGTATTTTCTAGCGTTAACTTCCTAAGATTAGAAAATAAAATTCCATATGAATTTTATTTTCTAAACCTTGATGTACAAGAAAATAATGACTACTCAACAATCAGCGAAAACTGCTCAACTGAGGAACGTGAAATGTTATACACGAATTTCCTAGTACCGCAAATTTTGTGTTAACATAATTATGTTAGAAAGAAAGAGTAAATAAAAAAAAGACCAGCTATTATGTTATTAAAAGTTATGGAGTCATTGAAAGAGTAATTTAAAGTAACAAATACCTACTCTCACCATAACTCAAGAGAACTTGATGAAATCACAGGAAAATTCGATTGTAAAATAAGTTTCATGGGAATTTATGTCTATCATATTTACTTTATGCCACAGATTAAAAACTGAGACTACCTGAGACTTTTTTAAATGGTGTCATATAAACAAAATTAAGACGAACTTAACAAAATCCCATTTACATATAAAAGTTTTTAGATTTTCTCAATTGTCTTTACATTTAATATTCATAACTAGCATTTTAGTAGTAAAAAAACTACTTTTAGATGGCGTATCAAGATAAAACATATACAATATTTTAATTCAGTTGTTTAGAAATATAACTGGGAAAATTGCATCACTTTTAGTACAATAGTTTTTGTTGACGCGTTTTTGAGACACGGTGTATCTATATAGTCTAAAGGGACAGAGTACATAATACCATGATTTTGATAAATAAAAAATACCTGAAGTGTCACAGAGTACTCTATTATATCCCTGAAGCCATTCCTCTCTGCTTTCGACTACTTTCGACTTGCCATCCATTACAATTCTATATTGCATATAAATGTGCATACAAACAACCAAAAAACTTACCCCTTTATTCGAGTTTCATTCGATTAAAAGATATTAATAAGACAACATACAATTCCGTAGTTGTTTGAATGTTTTAACTTCATTGTTCTCACCTAAGTACTTTGAGTCTATGTCTGAAGCAATTTTGCATTTTAATGTTTACTGAAAGCCACGGGGGAGGAGCACGTTTTTGCCACTTTGTAGAGTCATTAATCTAGCGAGAAAGGCACTTAATCATGAAAAAATAACATTCTTGAAGTGAATTTATCTTTGATAAATAATAATTCATTTGACAGGACTAGTTAAATATTTTTTTTATTCAAACGAGAATAATAAATACCACTAGAAATATTACACAACATCAACAAGTTCCAAACAAAGTAGAGATTCTACTATGGACACTGGACAATAACTATGGACACTAAAGATGACTTTTCTCACAAATATGTATTGTACATAGAAAACATCAAGATCAATACAAACAGTACTCATGAATACAAATGTTTGTATTATATGAGGATCGAAACCGCAAACCATCGGGAAGTAAAGCGATGTGTTGAATGACTAGATCACCAAGGTTGACT